CTTGTGGGCAGCTCTGCAAGCAGGCCCATCTATCCTTAGCTTCCTAATAAATGCTGCTCCCAAATGCCAGTTCTCTTTCAACAGAACTCTGACAAGACTTCCCCCCCACACTTTAGGCAGGAAAAAAGAACGTGTCCCTAGAGGTGAGCTGGCAGAAGTAAGAGGAAAAATATTGAGGGAAGTGGGGATGGAGAGACCCCAGTCCTCTCCTGCTCAAGCCTTCCTCTGGGCACTGGGGATAGTCCACAAGCTCCAAGTGTGAGCCTCCTGATAACCCTCTTCCCTTCTGCCTCACCCCTCAATGATTCCTGAAATTTTTTAAACTGTGTAGGAAAAAGAATCTGATTACATAACATTTCAAATAACATTTCAATAACATTTCAAATAGCAAACAAAAATGACCTACATGTCCAATTTGGAAAGGAGAAGGGAATAGGACCTCCTTCACAAAGTGCTTCCCTGATAGTTCAGTTGGTAAAGAATCCGCTCACAATGCGGGAGACCTGAGTTTGATCCCTGGGTTGGGAAGATCCCCTGGAGAAGAGAAAGGCTACCCACTCCAGTATTCTGGCCTGGAGAATTCCATAGGCTAGTCCATGGGGTCACAAGGAGTCGGACACGACTGAGTGACTTTCACTTCACTTCACTTCACAAAGAGAGAAAGCAGCCTGGTGAGCAAGGATGAAGCCAGGGCTTGGCACTTGAGTTTAACTTCCAGTGAGGATGGGGATGGAGGTCTGTGAATGGTGTGCAGAGATATAACTCTTGCAAGATTCATGAAGATGATTTCTTTCGAATGTGGCTGTGCCCTTGATTAAGGACATTCTTTAATCAAGACTTTACCTTGTTAGTCTCCCAACAGAAACACAAGCCATAGATACACTGCTGTTGTCATTCAATTGAAAGGGAAGGGAGCCACTCCTCTAACACTGAGCAGTAATAAACCAGTCTAACTGAGTGTCCCAGGAGCCGGGTTTGAGCACCAGGTTGAGAGCAGAGAAGAGTCTTCCAACCACGGGCTGAGAGCAGTGCACTCCTCCCCCACCAGCTTAGCAGAGTCACCTGGACTCTTTGGTCTAAAAAATAATGCTACTTTTCTTTCTTTCTAGTCTCTCTGCTTTTTGTGATGCTGTTTTTCCAAAACCACTGGAAATGAGAGAAGAGTTTTCATTATCACATGGTTTGTTTTTGTTCATATTTTCTTTGTTGAGGTTACTCACTATAAGTTGCAGTTCTTAGAATTAGCCTACTGAAAAAATTTTACTCCCTTTTATAGTTCTCTATTGGCAGCCTATTAAGTTCAGTGAAAATATTTTAATCCAAAATAGCGGGGAGGCCCTCTGGTCGGAGGCTGGTGGGAGCAGGGGAGCAGGGAGACAAGCAGGTATAGATGCCTAGTGGACTGACTCCCGGCTCCTCTGGCCCCTCTTTATAACCACGATTATCACACACCCACACACCCACAAAAATCCTGAAAATACAGTGGAAACAATCAACCACAATATTTCTTATGACTACAGATGAAGAGAACTAAAGTGTTGTCAGGGACATATTTATGAATTTGAGTTGGATTTATGAACTTTAATGCTGACAGTCTGACTCAGTGATAAAAGCAACCCCATCCGCCCCTCCAGGGGTGACGACGCAGTTAGAACGGCTTACAGCGACTTTGACTCTTCTCACCAGACTTCACAGGAGCCTCAGAACTCTGAGGGACCGGCCTGTGGGACCCGCCTCAGGATGCTGGGCTGGCGGAAAGCATCTCTGTGCAGCCCACATCACACACACCACTCAGCGCGCAGATGCGCCAGGGGAATCTGCCACTTAGTGAACAAGATCCGCTCAACTTTGGAGACTATTCGTAGTCCAGAGTCCAAGATTCCATGACAATTAGATTTATATGTTTTGTGCTTACGCTCTAAAAGCTGCAAATATATTCCTCTCATGAGTTTAAGGCTAAAAGCAGAGATGATTTACATCAGAGTTCCCTGAAACTGTTATTGTGGAGAAGAGGTGGGTCCAAAGAGATGGATCATTTCTTCATAAGGAAACACATTCAAGTTATCAAGTTAATCCCCTAGATTCAGGATCTCTTTGATAACTGTCTAATGTCCTATAAATGTAGGACATTACAATTCATGGATGAGCTACCGCAGGAAGAAACTGCTGTTTCTTAGGTTTGGAAAGGCTGTAGGTAACGAAAGATGGGTCCAGAGGACAAGGCTATGCACTTACTTCAAGGCAAAGGAAACAAAATATCTCATACACACACATAAACACACAAACACACACACACACCTCAGAATAACCTCCTGAGGTACATATTGTTGTTACCCAACTTTTACCCTGAAGAAGCTGAAACTTAAAATGGTCAAATTACTCACTCGTGGTCAGAGTGAGTGGCAGATCCAGCCAGACACAGACAACACCTCCTCCGCCCAAGCTGTAAGCCTCGCTCTGTATGGCCTCCTCACAAGGCAAATGCACAAGGCAATGAAAAACATGGCCACCAAAGTCTTCCTTTAGTTATTAACATGAACATAGTTATTTACACTTATGCATTTATATTTATCATATATTCGTTGTACCCGGATCGCGGAATCCCACCAAACACCACAGGAGCAGAGGATTGGTGCAAAAACAGTGAGGAACTTTATTACAAGCTCGAGCAGGGACTCTCTTCACACAACGGCAAAGGAGCCCCCCATGAAAGCAGTGAATCATTTTTATACTGTATAGCAGGGGAAGCAGGAAGGGAAGCTTAAGGGGATTGGTTAATTCATACTGTGCAGCAGGGGAAGTGGGAAGGGAAGCTTAAGGGGATTAGTTAATTCTTCAACTAAGGGTGTCTTGTTAGCTACTGATTAGTGGGTTAGAGTAAGGGGGTAGGGACTTTCCTGTCCTCCCCTGATTGGCTCGTTAGTTTCTTGCTCTTTAAATTTCGTTTTCTCTCCTCGGGAGAGGGTTTTACTCAAAATAGCAGTGCTATCCTAAAATGGAGTCGTTTGGGTTTCACATTTCACATTTCCCCGTCTTCTAGTTCCTATGGAAGGCCCAATCATGGGTCTTCTACAGAGTCAACTATATCATCTGTGGAGACAGTCGAATATTGAGATCTGAGTAACATTAGGTGGACGATATTAAATCTATCTTTTACAAAGGACATAATTCTATTTAATATACAGGGACCTACAGTTAAGATTAATATCAGTAGAATGAGGGGTCCTAGTAGATAAGAAATCAGGGTGGTCAACCAAGGGGAAGTATTAAACCAAGACTCGAACCATGGTTGTTCATTTTCTCTTTCTTGTTTTCGCCTACTTAGGCCTTCTCTGACTTTCTGTAGAGATTTCTGTACTACTCCTGAATGGTCAATATAAAAATAGCATTCGTCTCTGCTATGCCCATAGTCCAAGTCCCCGGTCAGGCAAGAAGACTCCTCGAAACAATGCAACTTGCAATAGGGGAATTTATTACTGACTCAAGTCAGGCCCTCCCGCCCTCACCAATACCCAGTTCTCTCGGGTATTTATTAGGTCAAAAAAAGCAGCAGGTAGTTGGCGCAAGCGGATTGGTTACACAGTGGGTATTTCGCGCATGCGAATTGGTTACACAGTTGCAAGGCAATTTTTGTTGGCCCAACGTGGGGCTTTCAGCTTTCCCCTGATAGGTTCCCTTTTTCTTGCTAGGCATATGTTGATTGGCTAGCTCCAGGAGGCCTGATAATTATGTTACCCCGGAAACCAGGTCTACTCCTAATCTAGGCTGCCTGTCATGGCGTTAGCCGTGACAGCCTCACAGTCTCCTAGGGCTGCACATAGTCCTCCTTGTTGTAAGAATAGCAAATCTAAACCTCTTCTATTTTGTAACACTACCTCAGCCAGAGAACTTAAGGATTCTTGGAGGTGGGAAATGGATTTTTCAAGCTGTTCAATATCTTCATCTATGGCAGCCCTCAGTTGGTTATACTGCTTATTTTGGAGTGTTAAGGCTACAATTCCACTTCCAGTTCCTATAGCCCCCAATCCCAACAGGACAGCTAAAGTTAGGGCAGCAACTGGTTCTCCTTTTACCCTATACTGATCTGGTGTCTCTAACCTTGGTTGCAGTTCTTCTTCTGAATAATAGTTTAGCCGGGGGATTAGATGGACTAGGACACAGAAATCTTGAGAGGTTTTTAGTGCCGCCTGATGGGCACACGGGGTTAGCCCAGCGGAGCAAGCCCACCATCCATTTTCTGGTGGGATGATCCACTGGTGGTTGGAATTGATGAGGTTGGTCATAGGGACTGTGTGATTACATAGGTGTTGATAAGTCTCAGGAATGGCCCCTATGCATTTTAGGGTATTCTAGCGTAATTTTATCTGAATGAGGTCGTTGCCAGGATTGATGGGCCAAGGGACCATTCCCGAGGTTTTGCATCTGCAAGAGGCGCAGTAAAAAGAGTCAACTCCCCCACATTTTTCAATTTGGTTCCGATCCCTTCCTCCTCCTGGGCAGACATAGACAGGCACTTGTTCTAAATACTGTGGGTGCTTACCCTCATAGTTATGGGTGAATAAGCTGTAGGAGCCATGAGCAAAAAAGTTGGTCAGTTGGCTGGAACCATGGAAGCCGTTATTGTCGGCCACCAGGACGCATAAATCAAAGGTCAATACGGGCCACCATGTCCCTTGTCCCTTTGGGGGCTACATTGGAACTCGAATGAAGTATTTCTCCAGTCTCAGGGTTGTAGACTATCTAGGTCATGTTGACCGGATGATGAGGACTGGCTGAGGTAATCCCCTGGAAGGCTGCCCAGAGTACAAAGTTCCTTAAGAGGGAGTTGGGGCGTTTCCGGAGTTTTAGCTTGAGTGGATTGTCCGAATGTTTAGAGACTCTCCATTGTGGCAGAACCTCGTGGAGTTCAGTGAAAGGATCAGCAGGCCTCGCATTCAAGAAGTGGACCCATGTTGAGATACCATCTACCTTGAGGGCCATTGGTGTGACTAGGAGGACAAAGTAGGGTTCTTTCCAGCATGGTTCGAGGGTGCCTGAGTGGTGTCTCTGCACATAGACCCAATCTCCTGACCAAAAATGATGCGGTTCAGGTGGTGGCTTGGTGAGGTATAGGGCTTCTAGTTGTTTTCAAATGTCCTTGTGCACTGTTGGAGGAGTCGGAGGGAGGAAAATAGAGCATCAACAGGTAAGTCAGCTATTAAGTCAGTCTTTAAACTAGGTACAATAGGGGGAGGTCTCCTGAACATAATTTCAAAGGGGGTTAACCCCAACATGTAAGGTGAGTTCCGCACCCGGAACAAGGCAAAGGGGAGGAGTGCCACCCAGTCCCCGCCAGTCTCTAGGGTTAATTTGGTCAAGGTCTCTTTTAAAGTTCTGTTCATTCTTTCTACTTGCCCTGAACTCTGGGGTTGATAGGCACAATGTAATTTCCAATTTGTACCCAGAACCGCCGCCAGTCCCTGACTTAACTTGGAGACAAAGACGGGACTGTTATCGGAACCTACCTGTACAGGGAATCAGAACCATGGCAGGATCTTTTCTAAGAGTTTTTTTGTTACTACCTGGGCTGTCTCCTTTTTTGTTGGGTAGGCCTCTACCCATCCAGAAAAAGTATCAATGAAGACTAGCAGGTATCTATATCCATATTGTCCCGGTTTTACCTCAGTAAGGTCTACTTCCCAGTATGCTCCAGGGCGCGTTCCCCTTTCTCTGGCTCCTTTAGTTGCTCCTGAAGTCTTTGTTGGGTTTGTTAGCAGGCAAGCCTTACAGTCTGAGGCAATTTTTTCTATTTTCTCCTGGCAGTCTTTGATGACAATCTTTGCAGTTCTGACGGGATCCTGCATTTTTTTCGCCCCTAAATGGGTTGCATTATGAATTTTCCTGAGCAGTTCTGTCCCCAGTAGTTCAGGTAGGATAGGCGCTGACTTAGCATCTTCCCACCAACCATTTTTAAATTGTGTCATAGGTAAGGAGTTAATCCATTTTATATCTGTTTCACTGTATTCGGGGTTATCGGGTAGAGTCATAGTCCCTGGATCAGGGAGTCGAACTGCCAAAACCGGGGTAACAGATGCTAGAGCAGCTTCCTTGGCTGAAAGATCAGCCAGTCGATTGCCCCTTGCCACAGAGGAGTCACCTCTTTGGTGGCCTGGGCAGTGGACTATGGCCAGTTTCTTGGGCAGCCAAAGGGCTTGTAGAAGCTCAAGAATTGTCTCTTTATTTTTTATAGTCTTTCCTTCAGCCATCAGGAGTCCTCTCTCTATATAGATGGCCCCGTGTATGTGCGCTGTGGCAAAGGCGTATCTGCTGTCAGTATAAATGGTCAGTTGTTTTTTTTTCCACCTCTTTTGAGTGCTTCAGTCAATGCTATAAGTTCGGCTTTTTGGGCCGAAGTCCCATGGGCCAAAGGGGCAGCCCATATGACTTCTGTCTCAGTGGTCACAGCCGCACCTGCATACCTTTGTCCATTTTGTATGAAGCTGCTCCCATCCGCGTACCAAGTCAGTTCAGCATCTGGAAGGGGGACATCTTTCAGATCAGCTCAGATCCCACATACCTGAGCCAGGATGTCAGCACAGTCATGTAGTGGAGCGTCCAGGTCTGGATCCGGCAGGAGTGAGGCTGGGTTCAAAGTAGTTGGCGGCTGAAAAATGACCTTGGTAGGGTTTAGTAGTAGTCCCTGGTAATGGGTCAGTCTAGCGTTACTGATCCATCAATCTGGAGGTTGTCTCAATATACCCTCTATGGCATGTGGGGTTGTTATTTGCAGTTCTTGTCCCAGGGTTAATTTGCCAGCGTCTTTTACTAACAAGGCCACAGCAGCCACCATATGCAAGCAGGGGGCCATCCACTAGCCACTGGGTCCAGTTTTTTTTGAAAGATATGCCACTGGTCTTTTCCAAGGTCCCAGTTTCTGGAGTAACACCCCTTTGGCTATCCCTCTGTTCTCATCTACATAGAAAAGGAAGGGCTTAGTGACGTCAGGTAGACCTAGGGCAGGGGCTGACAGGAGGGCTGCCTTAATGTCCTGGAAGGCTTTATCCATTTCCTCTGTCCAGGCAAATGGTATAGTCTCTTTTGTTGCCTGGTATAGTGGTTTTGCCATTTCAGCAAAACCTGGGATCCATAATCTACAGAATCCAGCGGACCCCAGAAATTCTCTAATTCCACATTGACTCTGGGGCTTAGGGATCTTTAACACAGTCTCTTTTATAGCTTTGGACAGCCACCACTGTCCTTCTTTTAATATGTATCCCAGGTAATGAACCTCTTGTTTGCCAATTTGTGCTTTCTTTGTGGAGGCCCGATATCTCAGCTCACCTAAAGTATACAGCAAATCTCTGGTTGCCTCGACAGGTTTGGTGGGATTCTGTGGCCAACAAAAGGTCGTTCACATACTGTAGCAAGGTAACCCGTAGGTGTTGGATATGGTACTCACCCAGGTCCTCATGTAATGCTTCGTCAAAGATCGTGGGCGAGTTCTTGAATCCTTGTGGTAGTCTTGTCCAAGTTAGTTGCCCATGAATGCCTTCCTCTGGATCTGACCATTCGAAGGCGAAAATATTCTGGCTTTTGGGTGCCAGGGGGAGGCTTAAAAAAGCATCTTTTAAGTCCAGTACCATATACCACTGGTGATTGGGGTTCAAAGTGCTCAAAAGAGTAAAGGGGTTTGGTACTGTGGGGTGGATGTCCATCACCCGTTGGTTAACTTGTCTCAAATCCTGCACTGGCCTGTAGTCATTGGACCCTGGCTTTCTGACTGGGAGAAGGGGGGTATTCCAGTTGGATTGGCATGGGCGTAAGATGCCCTGAGCCAACAGCCTGCATATGTGAGGGCAAATACCCCTTTGTGCCTCTTGTGGCATCTGATATTGCTTGACTCTGATGGCCTCTGCTCCTGGTTTTAATTCAATATAGATTGGGGGCCGATGTTTGGCTAAGCCTGGACCTCTGGTTTCTGCCCAGGCTTGTGGGTATTCATTAAGCCACTGTTGCATATCAGCCTCAGGGGCTACTTCGGAGGGGCCTTGGTGTAATCTGTACTCATCTTCTATTTGCATGGTTAGAACTTGTACCAGCCTACCGGCCGGGTCCGTAACATTCACCCCATCAGGTGAGAAATGGATCTGGGCTCCTATTTTGGTTAGCAAGTCTCGGCCAAGCAGTGGGTAGGGGCAGTCTGGTATGACCATGAAAGAGTGGTATGACATGAAAGATCTGCCCATGCTCAGATCTAGGTTTCTTCGGGTAGTCCATGAATATTTTTTCATACCAGTGGCCCCCTGCACCCATGAAGTCTTTGAAGAGTTTTCCCCGTGGGTCAAGCAGGACAGAATGTTCGGCCCCAGTGTCCACTAAAAACTCAATTGGGGTCCCCTCCACTTTTAAGGTTACCCTGGACTCGGGGAGGGGTTCTGGGCCCCATCTCCCCTAGTCGCTCAGGTCCCCCAGAGCCAAAACGTTGGTTCCTTGCTTGAACTAATGCCCTTCTTTTGTACAATATGCACACTGGTTCCGTCCTAACTTTGGTTTTCCCTGGGGGTTAGGTTTCGGCTTACCTTCTGCCAGTTGTTTCAATCTCTTCTCTCGTTCGTTCAGGTGGGCGCTGGTGGCAGCCAGGAGAATGCGAGCCATATTTTGGGTCTACCGGTTGGCAGCTCTAGTCTGCTTCTCTTCAGGTGTCTCTCGGTTATTATAAACTTTCTCTGCTACTGCCATCAGATCTTGAATAGATTTTTCACCTAATCTATCTATCTTCTGTAACTTCTTCCCTATATCTGGGGCTGACTGATTAATAAAATGCATCATTAAGGCTGACCTAGTATCCTCCGCCTCAGGGTCCATGGGAGTGTACTGACAGAATGCATCCATCAGTCTCTCCAGAAATGCCGCAGGACTCTCTTCTCTCCCTTGCTGTACATTACCTACCTTAGCTAAAGTAGTGGTCCTGCGAGCGGCCCCTTTGAGACCCCCCAACAGAGTCTGGAGGTAGACCCGGAGCCGCTCCTTACCTTCCACCATGTTATAGTCCCACTGTGGCCTAGACAAAGAGAAGGAAGAGTTAATTGTCACAGGGTTAGCCATGGGTTGCCCATTATCTCCTGGCACCAGTTTCCACGCCTCTAGCTGGATCCTTTCTCTTTCTTCTGTGGTGAATAAATATCCGGAGTAGCTGCTGACAATCATCCCACATAGGTTGATGAGTAAACAGAACAGTTTCCAACAAATTAATAAGCTCTTTAGGTCTCTCTGAAAATGGGGCGTTCTGGGTCCTTCAATTGTATAAATCACTAGTAGAAAAGGGCCAATATTGAAGGGGCTGATTTCCATCAGCATCAGGGGGACCCAGAGCCCTGAGAGGAAGAATAGCTGCTGAAGTAGAGTCAGCAGGCCCCATGGGGGAGGCGGCCCTACGATTTCAGGTGTTCATTGCAGGTCCTCCCCCAGCCACTTCTGGAGAAGGTTGGGGAAGTGGGGGTTTGGGCTGAATAGGAGGAGGGAGAGAATATGATGGAGGTGTGATAAGGAGATCAAGAAGAGTCGAATCTTCCTGTAAAACAGGGGTAGAGGGGGCAGCCGGAGGCTTTTTCTTTTCTTCAGCCACTAGGACCTCCGCGGCTGCTGCTGCCTGTGGAGGTAAAAAGGGTTGGATCCAATGGGTTGGGCTGACTATTAGATCTTCCCAAACCAGGATATATGGGACCTGGTCTGGATGTCTGCTTCGAGGTCTGAGGATGATTTCTCAGACTTTCTGGACAGTCCTTAAGTCGAAAGTCCCTTCAGGAGGCCAGCCTACGTTAAAGCTGAGCCATTCAGCACTGCAAAAGATAACCATCCGAGATTTTTTAATTTCTACACTCAGATTATGAGCTCGAGCTCTAACTTCTTTGAAATGGTCAGTTACTAAGGTAAGTGGAGAGCATCCAGATTGGGTCTGTCCCATCGTCAGTCAGTCACACAATGAACAAACAAGACAACACACCAGACAAATAACGGAGCACGCAATTCCGAGAACAAAAGGTACAGAGTATATCAGATGTATATCAGGTGTGTGTATATAAAATATATATATATATTATATATACACACATACGGGACTACTGAGTAGGAGCTGGAAGACGTCTCTTCCTGCTCCCTGCTGGAGACCGTATCGGCGCGTCCACCTAGGTTTAAGTCCAGCTACAGAGCAGGGCCCCCTTACAGATATAGATGCAGCTGCTGCTACTGCTTACCAGCCATTCGTCCTCTGAAGCGCAGGTCCTGGAGGGTCCAGGGGATCCTGGACAAGCCCCCAAAATGTTGTACCCGGATCGCGGAATCCCACCAAACACCACAAGAGCCGCGGATCGATGCAAAAAGTGAGGAACTTTATTACAAGCTCGAGCCGGGACTCTTCACACAATGGCGAAGGAGCCCCCCGTGAAAGCGGCGAATCATTTTTATACTGTATAGCAGGGGAAGCGGGAAGGGAAGCTTAAGGGGATTGGTTGATTCATACTGTGCAGCAGGGGAAGCGGGAAGGGAAGCTTAAGGGGATTAGTTAATTCTTCAACTAAGGGTGTCTTGTTAGCTACTGATTAGTGGGTTAGAGTAAGGGGGGAGGGACTTTCCTGTCCTCCCCTGATGGGCTCGTTGAGTTTCTTTCTCTTTAAATTTCATTTTCTCTCCTCGGGAGAGGGTTTTACTCAAAATGGTGGTGCTATCCTAAAATGGAGTCGTTTGGGTTTCACATTTCACAATTTACATTCATTATAGTAATTTATATTTATTATATTTGTTTTTATTTCTGTTTGTTTAGAAGTATTTGATTATGAAAGGCTGAATCTCCTAGTACTCTGAATATATAAAATGCAGCAGGTTAAAATAGTTTTTGATAAAAGAAAGTACCTAGAAAAATGGGTACATGTGTTTTACCAGATCCTGGAGACTACAGGTTCAATCTCTGGGTCTCCCACATTGCAGGCAGATTCTTTACTGTCTGAGCCACTAGGGAAGCCCCATTCTGGAGAGAAGTAGTCTAACTGGACAAATTCTGAACCCTATTCAAGGAAAAGTATTAATGGAAACACAATGGGCTATATTGTTCATTTTTGAAAAAGGAAAGCATGTAAGATCATCCAGAGAAAACAAAACTACAACCACATTTTCTTGATTGTAATATATGGGAAGAATTCTTGATGTGGCTGTCTGCATAACAGATGTGAACTGTAGTTAGTAAAAATTCAAAAATACAGAAGACAGAAACTTTTCCATTAAGCTTTTTGTTTGTTTACACAAATGCTCGCTATAAACAGACTAAATTTTAAGCTTTAACTCAGTGAAGGCATTTGTGAGGAGAGGCAAGTCAGTACACACTTGGAGTGTGTAGTGTCCTTGCTTTTTGGTGATATAACCTGACAGAGGGCTACAACTCTGAGAAACCTACAAGGACAGTGAGCACATTTCCCCTGTTAACACAGTTCATAGTGGCCTTACCCAAAAGGCAGCCAGTAGGTGCTTAGAGTCTCTGACAAGTGTTGAAAATGCTGCCATTCTGTGCTGCTGAACATGGGAGATGCATCTATTTTAGAGACTAGATGATTAAATTGTAATGTTCACACTCCACTGTGTAAATAAGACCCTGAATTATATTCTGTTAAACCAGAGCATCTTCTCCTGTTCTTCCATAAGAAATTTACTATGGTATCAGAAAGTTGAGAAATCTGGAAGATGCCATTTAGAACTTTTAAAAATATTGGATGATACATTTTAAACATTCACTGAAAATAGGAATATTTGTATTCATAAACATGTTGGGCCTTTAAAGCCCTGATAACACTTTCTATGGTTAATTTAAAATCTCTCTTGACTTCCCTGGTGATCCAGTGGTTAAGAATCTGCCTGTCACTGCAGGGGACATGGGTTGGATCCTTGCTTTGGGAAGACACCACATGCCAGTGAGCAACTAAGCCCATGCACCACAACTACTGAGCCCACAGACTCTAGAGCCTGTGAGCTACAACTACTTAAGCCTGCATACCCTGGAACCTTGCTCTGCAACAAGAAGTCCATGTACCATGGAAGAGTTGCCGCCACTCACTACAGCTAGAGAAAGACAGCACAGTAACAAAGACCCAGGGCAGCCAAAAAGGAAAACAAAAACAAAAACCTCTCATTAAAAAAAAAAAAGAGCTTGCTTGTCTCATGGCTTTTGTAGTGTCATTGTTCAGTTGCCCAGTGATGCTTGACTGTGACCTCATGGACTACAGCATGCCAGGCTTTCCTGTTCTTTACCATCTCCCGGAGTTTGCTCAAATTCATGTCCATTGAGTCGGGGATGCCATCCAGCCATCTCATCCTCTGTTGTCTCCTTTTTTCCTCCTGCCCTCAATCTTCCCCAGCATCAAGGTCTCTTCCAGTGAGTCAACTCTTCGTATTAGGTAGCCAAAGTATTGGAGCTTCAGCTTCAACATCAGTCCTTCCAATGAATATTCAAGGTTGATTTCCTTTAGGATTGACTGGTTTGATCTCCTTGTGTCCAAGGGACTCTCAAGGGTCTTCTCTAGCACCATAGTTCGAAAGCATTAATTCTTCAGTTTTCAGCCTTCTTATGGTCCAACTCCCACATCCATACATGACTACTGGAAAAACCATAGCTTTGACTATATGGACTTTTGTCGGCAAAGTGGTGTCTCTGCTTTTTAATACACTGCCTAGATTTGTCATAGCTTTTCTTCCAATGAGCAAGAGTCTTTTAATTTCATGGCTGCAGTCACCATCTGCATTGATTTGGGAGCCCAAAAACTTGGAATTCTCCAGGAAAGAATACTGGAGTGAGTAGCCACTCCCTTCTCCAGGCGATCTTCCCGACCCAGGGATGGAACCCAGGTCCCCTGCATTGCATGCAGATTCTTTACTGTCTGAGCCACCAGGGAAGCCCCCAGGGACTATTAGACATAGACATAGACTACAGACAGACTATAGACATAGAGAGTTTATCACGTTTCCTCCCATGACACTCAAAAGAGAGTACAACAGAGCTATTTATACCACAATGGTTTGGAATTATGTGCAAGAAAGATGTGGGCGATAGAAGGCAGGAGCGCATCTAGGAAATATACATGTTAAAGGAGAACAAAACCACATTTTTTTCCTCTACTGGATTATTCCTTTCAGGCTAAAAATATGCTGTTGATTCCTCCATTAGAAAAAGCCTTCACTCTTTCCCCCTCCAGCAAGATCTTCTTTCTCTGCTGACCTCCTAGTGTACTGGCTCCTCCAGAAAGCTACCTATCATCCTCTTCTCCTGCGCCCATCTAACCAGGCATGTGTCACTGACTACCTAATGCTGCCTGCCCTTGTGAAGACACTGATTTTTCCTTCTCTGAGCACCACAGCATGTCACATGGCTCTGATTTACACCCTTCTTCTGGAAGCCTCTTCCACGTGGTCCACCAGGCTCCACAACCTGGCCCAGCACCCCTCTGTGCAGTCATCTTCCACCTCTTTCCTCCTACTCACTCTGTTCAGGAAGCTCACTTCATCTGCCTTCCTCAGGCTTTGCACTTGCCACTCTCCCTGGCTGGAATATTCTATCTCCATAGCCCCTGCTTTATTCCTTCACTTCCTTCACTTCACTTCCTTGCTTACCCATC